CTCATGAGATGGAACATGGAGTAACTATGGGATAGCAGGGTGTGTTCACAGTGTTTTCCAAAAATTATCAATCGCTTTGGTGCCACTCAACTTTGCAGGTTTTATAAGTAAGTAAAATAAACTTCTTGATAGTAACTATTACTTCCAAAGAAAGTGGTCTAAGGGTTCCATTACCCTGGTATATTAGTGAGGGTTCTCTAGAGGGAAAGAACTAACAGGATTGGTGGATATATGAAAGGGAGTTTATTAGGGAGTGCTAACTCACAGGATCACAAGATGAAGTCCCACAATAGGCCATCTGCAAGCTGCGAAGTAAGGAAGCCAGTCCGAGTCCCAAAACCTCAAAGGTAGGGAAGCCAACAGGGCAGCCTTCAGTCTGTGGCCCATGGCCCAAGGCCCAAGAGGCCCTGGCAAACCACTAGCATAAGTCCAAAAGCTGAAGAACTTGGAGTCTGATGTTCGAGGGCAGGAAGCATCCAGTACAGGAAAAAGATGAAGGCCAGAAGACTCAGCAAGTCAGCTCCTTCTACCTTCCTTCTGCCTGCTTTATTCTAGCCACACTGGCAGCTGACCCTAGATAGTGTCCACTCAGCTTGAGGGTGGGTCTGCCTCTCCCAGTCCACTGATTCAAATGCTAATCTCGTTTGGCAACACCCTCACAGACACACCCAGGAACAATACTTTGCATCCTTCAATCCAATCAGGTTGACACTCAATATTAACCATCACAAGTCCACCCCTTGTCAAGTTGAACCCATACATATCTCCTGAAATCATACATAATCTTCAAAGAAAGACAATAAGATCATAATTACACCTAATATAATACAGCTATCCTTCATAAAACCAGAAGCATACTAATCCTTAACCTAAATGCTATTACATAAAGTTAACAACAATTAAATGCTGATATGAAGTCAATAAATACTATATCACATGATAAAAGAAAAAGAAAGGAAATAAAAGATTTTCTTAGTACAAGTGTATCCATGCACAAACATGTTCTAAACAAAATAAGGAGGAAATACTCATGACAATTACAATCCACGTTTCTGCAATTGGTCATGTGATCGTAGCTGGTATTGATGACCACCTTCTTCTACTACCCATTCTGTATTCCCTTTGCCTTCAGCAAGCACCTCAGCAGGTCGTGGTTTTTTTTAAACCTGTTGGAGACCCAAACCTTCATTCCTGAAGGGTCTGGGCCATCTGTAGTCCTCTTTCCTGGATTGGGTTGTTGTAGTTTCCCATGACCTTAATTACAGGGCATAGTAATACTAAGAGATGCCCTAAGGGATCTCCTGTATTACACACACACTCTTCCTTACCTCCATTGTGGAGTAGTAGTCTGATTTCATTTTGATAGTCCCAGTCAATCACCCCAACCAACACTGTAACTCCCTTCCTAGCCTGTTGATTTAGAAGTAGGAGGAGCCCAAAGTGTCCAGGTGCCAACCTTAACTTCTAGTTTAATGGAATCATTGTCGTGTCTCCTGGTGACAGCATTCCTCCTTCTGGAACTAAGACCTCTAGTAATGTCATGGGAACAGGAAGCAAGAATTTTGCTAGTGGATCACTCTTGGGGAGGTGGCTGACAGGTGCATGAATGGCCTGCAGCTGCTGTCACCTTTTATGCCCAACCTTATGATTATATAGATATATTTATGTAATATGTATGAATATGTAACATATTACATATAATATGTATATGTAATATGTCATACACAAAATATGAATTATATAATAAAAATATTATATATGATTATACATTATGTATATTATAATACATGATTTAGTTCAAATGTTTCTTTCACTTGCCCAGACCTGACCTCCACAGTTATGACTTTGATGCAGTGTCCAAGAATATCTTTTGGTCAATTACATGAGCAATCAATTGTAGCAACTATAAGAAAATACCAACTTTGAAAAAAGAAAGAAAAGAAATCTTACTGATCTACTTAAAATTATGCTACCAGGCCACGATGCTAAACTCATTCAAAACCACCTCCTATTATTAAATATTATTTTGCCTTTTCTCATTTCCTTCTTTTGAATATCACTTCTATTTTGAATGGCATTAACATAATGCCATTCCACAAAGAGTACAAAGTGCTTTGTTAGCTCTGCATCGTGTTTCCATCCATTCAACAATATATGGGCACTTCAATATGACTCACTGTTGCCAATAACAATGGTCATACTCTTGACACCATGTTCAATTTGAGAACCTCAGCCTAAGGAAGAAATGGAGAACTTGGAGACAGTTCTTCTGAAGAATCCCAATTCTTGCTCCTCCTTTTCCCTTTGCTCCCTCTCCACCACTGCCCTTACTTCTCGTTCCTCCCATAGCAGTCACACTCATACTCACTCACACATGTACACCACCTGCTTTTCCATTTTCCAGTAAAGCTCAGTGACTGGTACAGTGTGCTTGCTGTGCACACCTGTAAGACCCAGTAAATGCAGGTTCAGCAAGAGACCATGCGTAAGAATCATTGCATTCAAGTGATAATACGGGATTTTGCAAGTCTACAGATATAATATTAATTATTTACCAAAAAACGAGTTGCACCTGCAATCAAAATGTAACTATACCAAATTTATAATATGTAGATGATTTCAACTCTTTTATCACATATTTATTTTCTTAAAAATAATTATGTTAAAAGAGGCTCCCTCAGGAAAGAAATCCTTATGTTTCACTTAACTCCCATTTTCCATCCAAGACTTCTCTGTAATAAAACCAAAACTCATCTGACATGTTTGTAGAGCACTTTATCCAAAGAGTCCCAAAGGCTTTACAGATTTCATTCTATCAGAGGGAAGGGAGTAAATTATTCACTTTACTGAGAGCTATGAATAACGTTTCCTGGCTACCTCAGTCAACTACCTCTAACAGCGATAAACTAAATCAGGCTCTCTCAGCCATTTAGAGGCCCATCTATCTGTGAGCTTGCCAGACCCAGAGAGACTAGATCTACTTTCCCCATGTCATCTCTCCATCCATCTTTCCCACCTCCAATTACATCCCATCTTCCCCCTCTTCACTCTGATCTTTACTCACCAGATCAAAATGTGGAAACAGAAAATGAGAACAATTCAAAAACTGAAGGATCAATGCACTAAATAGTTCCCTGATACCCTGAAAAGTTAATGTCATTTCAAAGAACAAGCCTCCATTCCATCATATCAGTCTCCTTGTGCCACCCATCCCCAAAATTAAATTCAGTATTCTAACCACATACTACCACTGGTCACCAATAGAAGCAAAATGGAAAGAAGGACCAGGGATGAGTCAAAATAAAATAATGTCTAAAGACAGACAACATTCATATATATAAATTATAGCAGCCACCAGAAAACATTAGTAAAACACTAAAGAAGACCACAAAAAAAGAACTGCAGGAAATCTTCAGCAAGGACCCAGTGAGAAAGCCTACAAACGCTCTTTTATAGTAGGATGCTCATTCTCAAAGAGGCACCTGGAATCATTCCATTTTTGCTCAAGGAAAATAAAGGTGAAGAAAATTCACCACTTGACTGTACTAGTTTTGGAAGACTCAACAATAACCTCCCTAGAGTCATTCAATCAACTGACATTAGTCATGATCCTACACTGTTGCTGCACTGTACAAGGCATGGAAAAGGTATAAACATGCAAGCTATCAACATCCCTGTCTAGGAGATCTTCTAGGCGTCATTTTCTTTTCTACCATTGGCCTAGATTCATCTGGGAAGCATCTGGAAAGAGCTAATGGTGTGATTTAGTTTGGATCTGTGACCCTGCCCAAATCTCGTGTTGAAATGTAATCCCCAAAGTTGGAGGTGGGGCCTGATGGGAGGTGACTGGATCATGGGGGCAGATTTCTCATAAACGGTTTAGCACCATCCTCCAGGTGCCGTCCTTGCAATAGGGAGTGAATTCTCATGAGATTTGGTGGTTTAAAAGTGTATGGCACCTCCCCAGCACTTGCTCTTCCTCCTGTTCTGGCCATGTGATACACTCGCTCCCCCTTCACCTTCCGCCATGATTCAAAGTTTCCTGAGGCCTCCCCAGAAGCAGAGCAGGTGCCAGCATCATGCTTCCTATGCAGCCTGCAGAACCGTGAGCCAATTAAACCTCTTTCCTTTATAAATTACCCAGTCTCAGGTATTTCTTTATAGCAATATGAGAACGGACTAACACACAATGGAACTTTTAGTTTATTATTAGAAGCACACACACCCCAAATATTCTTTTTAATGTTAACATTACTTACACCATAGTAATAAATATATGCAGAACTGCAAATAAACATCTTTACAGATTAAGAATCAATGCACTAAATGTTTCAGCTTCACTCTACTATCTAATCAATTCCACAGCAGTTTATTGCTGTGTATATGCCAAATCGATAAGAAATGCACCTTAAAAATACCTATAAAATAGAATGCTATAGAACAGATACCATAGGACTACAAGAAGCAATTACACTGTGCAATTATATAGCATAATACCAACAGCAAGCAGTTATTGTAACTACCCATGAAAAATTATGGGATGTTTCAAGCTAACTTGCTTTTCCATTACATCTTTCTCAAACAAAATCCAATATCAAGGAGTATATTATAGTCCTTTATTCGCATATTCTGGCACTGCCACCAAAATTGAAATGTTCAGGGCTAAATAGGACTAATAGAATGATTTAAAAATTGTATTCAAAGCATGGGCTCCCTTTGGTCCCCAGTGGAATACTGGGAATACTGCTAAGGCTACAGAAAGACCACATCCCCATGCTCAAAAAAGGCGTGAAGAAAATAACTCAGAGGACAAGGGTCACTGTCTTCAAACATTCAAACAGGTACCACATAAAGAGGGATGACACTTATTCTCCAAGGACCCACAGCCCAACGAGTCAGTGCAGCTAGGGGAAATTGTGTTTTAATGTGAGGGCAGATTTCTTAAAACTTGGCCCCTCCCCAAAGGAAGAGGCTTGGCTCAGGCCCCAGAGAGCTCTTACCTTTGAACTGTCAAGACCAGGTATTAGAGGGTTAGAAGAGAATCTTGCCTTCCGAAGGAGAGAACTTGATGACTTCTACAGCGCCCCTCCTGCTCACCTGCTGCTTAAGACAGAATGGTATCACGTGTGTAGCCGTCAAAGGCAACAGAGTATCTGAGAAAGTATTCCACTGCTCTGTAAGGGAGAACTTTCCAGAACTGAACATCAACTAGCTGCTTCAGAAACCATCACGAATCAGACTTCGGGAAATCCAAGGAATTGAGCCCCTATTAAATGTAATGAGTACAAAGTGATGTCCACCAAACGTAACAGCACACAACTTAGACTGCAGAGAATAGACGAGAATATTCTAGGAAGGAAATAGCCAAGCCCAGCTGCCAAAGTACAGTTAAGGGAGTTTTTGGCCGGGCGCGGTGGCTCAAGCCTGTAATCCCAGCACTTTGGGAGGCCGAGACGGGCGGATCACGAGGTCAGGAGATCAAGACCATCCTGGCTAACACGGTGAAACCCCGTCTCTACTAAAAAATACAAAAAACTAGCCGGGCGAGGTGGGAGGCTGAGGCAGGAGAATGGCGTAAACTTGGGCGGCAGAGCTTGCAGTGAGCTGAGATCCGGCCACTGCACTCCAGCTTGGGCGACAGAGCGAGACTCCGTCTCAAAAAAAAAAAAAAAAAGGGAGTTTTTGTTTTGTTTCTTTGTTTTTGAGACGGAGTCTCACACTGTGGCCCAGGCTGGTGGGCAATGGCGCAATTTCGGCTCACTACAACCCCCGCCTCCCAGATTCAAGCGATTCTCCTACCTCAGTCTCCCGAGTAGTTGGGATTACAGGCACCCGCTACCATGTCCGGCTAATTTTTTTGTATTTTTAGTAGAGATGGGGTTTCACCGTGTTAGCCAAGACGGTCTTGATCTCCTGAACTCGTGATCTGCCGGCCTCTGCCTCCCAAAGTGCTGGGATTACAGTCGTGAGCCACCGTGCCCGGCCAGTGTTTCTTTTTCTTAAAGAAATCGTGTATGCACATTTTCCCTTTTTCGCGTGGACTTAATGTTTTGTGTTTTACTATCGCTCCATAAATGATTACCGTGTATGTGAAGCTAAGTTACATGTTTTGCCGCGATGGGGTCACTGTTCCCTGCGAACGCAGCCGCAGCCCTGCGTCGGCTCGGGTTCCACGCCAGGCCTGGTGCCTTCGCGCTGCAGCACTGCCCGGAACAGCAAATGCAGCGCGAGTCAGAGGGGCTGAAGGTAGACGTCCCAGGCCCCACACTGCACACCCAGCACCGCCTTGGGACTGGCACGGCGCTCCCATCGCACCCTGGCATCTGCAGAGTTCAAGGGGGCACAGTGCACTGCACGGTGCTCCGTCCTCATCCCCGTGGGGCCTCACTGCCAAACAGGCATCACTCCTGGGAAGCCACCAGCTCTGGGGAGGGCTGTTTAGACTGGGCGGAGGCACCTTACTCTACTTATCCACAGCAGGTCACCCACGACTCGGCTCCACTAGCCACTACCTCGAGTATCGCCAGTCCCACAGGTGAACGGAAAACGCCTCGGCATCCACAGGTCCGTCCCCAAAGCTCCCGCGCAGGAGAAATAAACGTCACTTCCGCTTGCCTCTCACTGGCCAGGCGAGTCACGTGATGGCATGACCTCATGGGGCGGGGCCAGCATCCTCCCGGGTGCCAGCCCTGAGCCGCGGTGGATCCGCGGGGAGGTGGAGGCGACTTAACGTTGCGAGTCTCGGTCGGTGGGCAGGTGGGTACCCCTTACTGCTGAGATAAGGCTGTTCAGGGAAGCGGCCTCCTGACAGTGCGTGATTACCCAGAGTGTAAATCCCAGTGCTGGCCAGGATCCAGGAAAAGGCCAGGAGCAGGGCTTTCCCACCTGGCAGGTGAGTGGGGTCCCCTGGACCACCTGGAGGCCGTGCAGGAGCAGCGATGCTGCAGCCCCGTGCAGTGAACCCACTCAGATCTCAGGCGTGGTTTCTGAGAGCCACTCAGCCCTTGGCCTTCTAAGACCTTTCCCACCCCACCCCGCCTCTAGTCTTCTCTTCTAAGACTCTTTAGAAAGGAGCCTGTGGTCAAACTTTGCCCACGCATCTAACCTCCAGCCTGAGTCCCTGGGAACTTGATTACATCACTGCCTCCTGCATATCTACTATCCACATTTAAATGTTATCTGAACCATGGTGACTTTGAGAGGTTAAAGCTTTAAGTGAAAAGGAAAATGAACCTTACAGTTCAGCCTCCACTGCCCAATGCCTGTGACTTCTCAGGCATCGCAGCACAAAGATCTTCAAGGAAATCATCCAAATGAGACCTCTTCCTCATTAAGGTTTATCATTAACTGAGAAAAGAAAGAAATATTTAAAGTATCATTATTTCTTTTTTCCTGAAGGTATGGAATTCCAATTTTTTCCAAGTAAATGTGGAACCATTCAGTTATTTTTTAAATGAATGCTTTGTCTTTACAATTTGTGCTACAGCAAGCTCTCCTCTTCATTTCTAACTCTTTTTACTGGAGGACCCCTAGAGAAAGTAGTTTGGGGACTTCCATGCTTATTAGATGCACATCAAGCAGATCCTGTTCACTCCATCTCAGCTTTTCTTTCATGGCATCAGGGGCAGGCTATTATTTGCAAGCAGCCAAGGTAATTACCATCCAGCAGGGTCCAATTGTTTTCAATTAAAAGCTTTACTGCAGTCTTTAGTTTTAATACCACTGTGGCCATCTGCTTTCACTGAAGATCTACCAGCCAAAAGCCCAGGCCACATCTTAATGCCATTAACTCCTGAGAGCCATTTTCCTCCAGAATGAACTCAATAGTCCCGGGGAAATATGGGAATAACCTCATGTTATCTTTGGTGGCCTGGGGAAAGCTATAGGACTCAAGAAGGTTATTTTCAGAAAGACAAGCACTACCTCTTCTTGCCTGAAGTGCTAGGTAATTGTCTTAATTCTCTGCTTCACTTCAGCAGAGGATGCTGAACTGTAACTGCTCCATTGCACATTTTCCATCCAGCCTCAATATTCTGTAGCCCTATTATAAAATGTCTCTGAACTGTAATTTCATCAGATGGATCACTTTGGTATAGACATTTTCCATTTTGATATTCAATTTCTATCCAACTCTGCTTAGCTCACCATGACCCAAAATCTAGATGTGGGTAAATGGTAAGGAGTGACCCAGGTTACCGAATAGATGCTCTCACACTGCAATGTGAGGTCATTTAACTGTTTTCGTGGCTTAAAACCTGCAGCCCATTCCAGTCACAAAGTTATTAGGAATTAACTTGAGAGTTTTATTGAACGATCAGGGACAACAGCCCAAGGCCTAGACTTGGAGTTTACAGCACATGTTTTGCCTACTCCTGAGGGTTCACACTGTGCATCGGCTCCACCAAAGCCATTTACATTTCTCCCTTCTCCTTCCCTTCCTCTGCAAGATAGGCTTCTTTGCAATCCAGGTAGCCATGGCCCACAACCCTGGCCAATAAGATGGAGGGTGCAAGTCCAAAAGGAAAGATTACTTTCCCCCAAAACTATACAGGGAGAAGGCTCTAGGCTCTTTTATTTCCTTTGCCCATGTCTTTTTTCTTCATCTTGGACTTGAAGTCTAAAGGAGCAGTGCTGGGTCAGGAAGCATGAAAACAAAGATGTCAATACTAAGGACAATGGACCGGAAATTCAGAGGGACTCTGAGTCCTAAATGGCACTGGACCAGACCTGGACTGGCACCCAGATTTCTGATATGTAAAGCATGAAAATCACTAGCTATGTCAGATCTACCAGTAGGATTTATTGTTTTTGTTTGTTGTTGTTGTAAAAAAAAAAAAAAAAAGAAAAAAAAAATTCCTAACTGCTGGAGTAATCAAAACTAAGAAAAAGGTCACAAAAGTGTCTAAGAAAATCAGAGGTATTGCCCTCCTGGTTCCAGAAAGCATTTCCATTTTGAGGCAGCAAAATTAATCTCTTAATTCTCAAAATTGTGAGGAAAAAATTCTGGAAGGAATTACTCCAACTAAAAGAATGCAAAATCAATAATGCCTGTGTCATAGCTATCACTTTCCTACAAATATTTCTGGCTTTCCTTCTGGGAATAAGATGGACTTGTGCTTCCTTGCCCCTCCAACATGACACATCAGGATTGTTTGTTACAGCAAAATAACCAATCTGACTGCTACCCAATGCTGACAAACAAGCTCTGGAAAATGCAGGGACGTTGAGTTGGTGAAAATGATCTTTGAAAAGCATTGGAATGTTATCAAGATCACCCAGTGACTCCAATGTGCAAGAAAGCTTAGGAACCATCCAATCAAAGTCTTTTTTTCTTAAATTTTTTTTTTAAAAAACACTCTTTTTATGGGCATAAAAGTATTTATTTCAAAGAGGTCAAACACAGCAATGGCTGGCCATGCCAGGAAGGGAAGCTAAGACGGCTAAGATCTAACTAGGAGGGTAAGTTGCAGCCTATTTGTACTGCCCAGATAGAAAGGGGACTCCTATAACATCAGCTTCATACATAAAGGGCCTCACTGTCTGTAACTTCTGTTACCTAATACCATCCAAGTCAACCTTTCAGCAAAGTATGGCAGCATCTTTCTCGAATATTTATAAATTGCCTGCGAGCACTGAAATTGCTGTTAGAAACTATACGTTCTTCAAACGTGCACACACCATTCTGTTCTCTGCAGACTCTGTTCTCCCCAGAGTCCTGCTAATTTCTCTGCAGTTTCAAGTCTCAGTCAGGGCTTCAGAAAGCTGAGGAACAGGCTACCCTCTGCAGTCAAGTTAGTCCTGGCTACAAAGTCCTGCCTCACCTGCAATCTGCCTCTGCCCTGATGCAGTCGTGACAGACTAGAAAGCACATTGTATTGAATTACCCTTTCTAGAAAAGAGCCAAGTAAGAAATTAGTTATTCATAAGTTCTTTGTGCATGATTTGCCACAAAAATAACACAAACTATTTTTGTAGGGCTTTGACAAACCTGACTAGGGTTAGCCCGACCTGGAATAGTCCCAGGGGAGCCTGCAAAAAACAAGCCACGTGAGCCATCCCGATGTTAGCTTCTGAGGGTCCTGACCCCCAGATCTCTATCTTCCCCACCCTGCTTCTCACCCCCACCCCCTGCAGTCCTTCCTGTCAGGCTTTTGCAGTTACTCAAGAAACTGTGCACGTAGCATAGCAATCAGATGCTTTCTCTCAGATGGCTTGGCTAATGGCCACTTCCTGTGGTTGTCAAATGAAAAAAGAAGAACTAGCACATCCCCAATGACTTATTGTATCACTTCCCGTATCTGACTATCTGGCAGCCAGCATAATTTAACATCACTCGTAAATTAAGAGCCTCTTGCGAGGGTGCCACAGCTGAGCCCTCCACCCCGTTTTGCTGATTAGAAAGAAACTGTGCCAGGACTTCCATTATGAATAGTCATTTCCTAAAATGTAACTCCAACATCACTGACATCTAATCATATATTAAATGAATGAATAGGGGTTCCATATCTACCCTGTGGACCTCTGAGCTCATTCTGAAGATTAAAGAGACTTCCTTTAACGTTCTCCCCACTAGCACTGTGCCCGTAAGACCGGGTTTCACCGTGACCGCCCCTTGCACCCCACAACCATCCCTTCAGTCCCCAGGTTATTGCCCACACTTTTCCCTGTCTCTTGGCTTTGCTCCATTTCCCCTCCCTTCATGCCCTGGCCTGTGAGAAGAGTCAAAGTGAGCTCAAGCAAGGACCCTCATTTTGCCCCAACACCTCAGGCCCCTTTCGTGCTGAGACTGGATGGCTCCATCAGGCACTTGGTGCCGAATGGAAGCAGTGGAACTGGGTGCTGCCTCTCCATGTCCAGCCAGCTCTGGCTGCAAGCAGCAGAGGCAAGCAGGGGCAGGAATCATAAGCAGACTCCTGGGGCTGCGTGTCCTCCCCTGGACAGGCGCACAGTGGGGCGTGCTAAGCAGCTTCGCAGGTAGCAGCCAGCGCTGGCTGTGCCGCATCTTGACGATCTTAGCAGAGAATCCCTTTCTCTGCTAGGCTTTCCAGCCAGGCTGGAAAAGTGAGCTGTGTTTGGATAGATCACGACTTCTCTGAGCCTTGGGTTTCCCTCTGTAAAATCGGGATCATACTCTACTGAGGTTTAATCTATGTTCAGGACTGTGAAAAATCGATGAGACAACACATATGAAAATACTCTAGGAAATGGAAATTTATAGCTGTCATTTTGCTAAAACTTAGAAGAATAAATTAGCCCAGTTCTAGTCATAACTTCATCATTTATAAGTTGTGTGTCTTTAAATATGATATTTAAACTTCCTCAACCACAGGAACTTCATACAACTCATGGCTCCTTCCTAAGTTTGCTGTGAAAACCAAAATGAGTTGATATAAAATACATACCCCAGTACTTGGCAGAGAACACGAGCTCGGTAAATGACAACTGCTTTTATTTGTTATTGTTAGTATTTTTATTATCTGAAGAGGACAAAGAAGATAAAAAGCTTGTCCAAAAAAAAAAAAAGTGAGATGCCATTTTTATACTTTATGAGTCTCAAAAAGAAAAGATCAGGGACATGGTTTCT